AAAATCCTCCGACCCTCCCTCAATGATCAGTCCCTAATTGACATAACTGAAATTAATTACCGCCTCTTTTTTGTTTCCAGTGATGTGGTTGGTTGAACTCATTTTAATGACCTCTGAGGCTCTGAACAATAGAGGCACGTTAAAATAGTCCTCTAAATACTAGTCTATTTTACAATGAAACGTCATAAAGCCTGAGTTGATGTTACATACTTCAGTATTTGTTTTGAGGGAGGAGTGGGTGGGCCATGAGGAGGCTTAGCAAGGGGTGGGGTGCTCATTTGAATGTAAATGGATTGTTGTATCAATTGTACATGTAACAAATTTAAAAATCTTTTAAACAGCAAACCAGCACCAGATGACAAATGGCCAGTATACACTCTTGAGAAAGAGCAGTATATCTCTTTGAGTCCGGCCTCTTCCATCCAGGCCAAAATGCTTCCAGAAAAGATGGCATTCTGGAATTTACTGGTTCCTTCTTTAACAGAACCACAACCAACATTGGCTCCTTTAACTCCAACGAGCCCTGTGACGTCACGTCCACCTGGACAGGCAGCTGCAGTAGCTGATAAAAGTAAGGCTCTTCATATATGGTGTATCAATCAGTGGTGAAGGTTTTCAATCTGCAGATATAAGTTCTGCAAAAAATGAATGCCTCTAGTCTTATAACACATTTTGCAAGCCAGTCAAGTATTAACTTTCATTCTTTTGTGTTCAAACTCATTGAAGTAGTCATCTATGAAGGCATCTACAGTTTATTTTGATTCTCTGTGCCAGGGTAAAAAGTCAAGAGATGTTAAAACTTGAAAATGTTACATTTTCTTCCACAGTAATCTTTTCCTCCTTGTTAACCCTTTTACCTCTAAGGGTAACCAGCATCTAATTTCTCCTTGCAATATCACCCCTGAATCAAACATTAAGGTCATGAGAATAAAGGAAAAGATCACCAGCTAAAGAAGCTCTTGATTGTGAAACAAATTCTTCTTGTTAGCACCTTTGGAAATGTAAAAGAACAGTATTGAGAATTCACATACTGATGTGTTAGGGTGCAAAGTGTTAATGAAATGAGGGTCGTCTTGAATTGCAACAACTGATTGAAAATTTGCCAATGCGCAAAATGAAGCCACTGAAAAACTTTTTTCAGCCTCTAATCAATCAAATCCTTTTTTCATTGCTTTGTTTTGTTTTGCTTATCATTCTTGTTGTTATTGTCATTGTTTCAGAAACCGAGTATGCCCTGATTGGTGTGGTGGTTGTCCTTGGTGTACTTCTCTTAGTCCTTCTTGTGGTTGTTTGGCGTTATAGGCGTAAACTAGGAGATGCTATCTCCGAACCTGGTCCAACTACCAGGCTAATATAGTTTCAACCTTAGCGGACATAGTCCCAACCTTGGCTAAAATCTGAGTAACATTTTGGCACTTACTCTTGTCTTAAGTTTTAATAGGGGTTGTGTTTCTCTCCCTCAGTTTACTGTTTTAAGCGATTTTAGTTCCAAGTCTAAACAATATTGTGACTGCATTGGCCAGTATTAGTCTAATATGGTTCAAATAAATGACAGCACGCCTGAGGTTCAGTACTTTATATAAAGCCGCGTTACAATTTGTGGCCTTATCATAGTTTACTGAATTTTAAAACGTTTACTTAAAAGGATTATCGATTTGATTATTGAGATGAGGAAACGTCGGTGTTGATTATAGAGTAGCCTACTGCACCCTTTTACGCCTTAAGATGGCAAATTTTTTCCTTATGTGTGAGTGCTTCGAGGAACTTTATAGCCTAGTGACTGTAATGGGGCATTTCAATTCCTTAGTTGAGTGCCTAACCGCGCTGAGCCCCATAGTATTAAGCCCCACATTAAGCAAGGACCATTGGTAGAGAGATTTTGCGTCGTATGTTCGTTAGATGAAAGGTCTTTTTGGTTTATCCCTTTTCTGTCCACCACCCATACATCGTAAAAGGACTGAGTAGAGTCCAATTCGGTCTGTAATCATACGAGTGATAACAAAATCGGACGACCGCGAAGCGGGAGTCTGATTTGTCTATCACCAGTATGATCACAGACAGAGTTGGGCGACGCGAAGTCCAGTTACCAATTAATCAAAACTATGACAAAATTTGAGAATAAATGACGCATACTACAACTACACTATTATATTGTCCAATTACAAGCATGGCGCGTACACTGTCCTATTCGTGCTCAAATCGGGCTGGTGATAACCAATCACTTTCGAGAATTTTGTTATGGTTTTGATCACACAAGAAACGATATACTGGTCGGTGAACTGTTTTTCAAAGCTCCCAACGGCCAGTATGGAAATTAGGTTAAGTTCAACCTATAGTTGGTTGTAAAATTTACAAATGGTGGGGAAATTACCAAAAGATGTGAAGTAAACTAGAAAGTACATGTATTAATATAGAAATTACAATAATGCATTCTTACGGTAAAAAGTATCATTTATAGTTGAGGTGGAATGATTTATGAGAATATAATTAAACTATTAAAGTTTAGAGTCAATAAAGTAAACAAACTTTTTTTTGGTAAAATTTATGTGAAAGTCCATAAACGCGGAAACCTTCGGTTCACTCTCGCGTCGTGTTCTTTGATTTGTTATCAATTACGTAACCTTCAAGTTAAAAACTACTTCCGATTGTGATATTTTCGGACTGTCGGTCGTTGCTAAAACGATCGCGTTTGTTTCCAGCTGATAAATTGTTTGATTCTGAGCGGTAAATAAGTTGCTCCAGAATCGTACGACATATTCCTCTTTTCCCGGCTCCACAAAATTTTCCGATTAGTTTTGCGAAATGTCTCCCATAACATCCTTCACAAATTAAAATTCAACTCTTTACTCTTCACTGTTTCGGTTTTTAGACAAAAGACACAGCCTTGCCCTTTGCCTTTCTCTTCCGAATCCCGATCAAGGAAACGCCGTGGAAAATTAAAAAAAGGTTGGGGCAACATCCTTGCACGAATTTGTTGACTGAACTAAAGAGGCCTGACGTTCAGTAATTAAAATAGATTTAAATTAAGAACATGCCTTTATGAGGTCGGCAAGAGGCAAAGTACGGCAAATGTCTATGTCCGTAATATCCTAATTCGACACGTGTAAAAAGAAGAACCTGGTTCGATGTCTTCACCTCCCTACTGATTTTTGTCAGGTGAAATAAAGCCACAGTTAGTTGCTCTACTTCGTTTTACAATTGACCAACTAAACTGAGCGACTAGGCCAGAGCTCGTCGGTAATTTTGGGCCCGCCTTTAGTCGGAAATCCATTTGAATTACAAATATTTTTTTAAATCAATATTCATATTCTGTCGAGATCAGTCTTGCACGTTGAAAGAAACTATGAACTACAAGATATTTCGGGCGTATTTTTTAACTTCTCTTGAGCCTGAAAACACGTTATTTCAACCCCTTACTTCGCCAATCGTACGCTCTGTCATGGCTCGCGTGTGTGTTTCTTCGATGCTGCTCAGCAAGTCGTGTGGTTTCCTTTCGTCGTAAAGGATTGACGGATGTCATCTTGTTTCCAATTTCTTCAAGGTAAATCTCGTTCGTTTCGATTTATGTTTTTCTTTAATAAAAATACGGTGCTTGTGTGTTATTGTTCTTGCCCTTCAAAATGAAATCACGGGGTTTAATGTTCAAGGAAAAGTAATTTACACCAGGAGCCCATTACACACATTACAGTGTAGGACAAATTCTCCGATCGCCATGACAGCTCAGATTGAGCCAACTTTTCGGCCAAGAGCGAGAAATTTGCATTTATTACTGTCAGTACCTTGATCTCTTATCTACCAATTTATTATTATTTTATTTCTGTTCTGTTTTTTTTGTTTTTTGTTTTAATTAAATTCCATTCATTTTTTTTATATTGTACCATTTCACCTCCAGATGTCCTCAGTAATTCTCCTTCTTTTACTGTATGCTAATCCCTGTTTTGAACGCCTTAAGGATCAAAGCTATAATGTAATGTTAACTCAACGGATGCGACCGCTAATTCTTGGTATCGTGACTTATTTCACGTTTCTTAAATTTTCGCCCTACTTTCTTTAACAAATATTGTTAAAATAAATCATGGAGGCTTTAGACCCAGACAATTTTTTTCTCTTCTTTAACATAATTTGTTATTTCAAAATAAAACTTAATTAAAAAGAAGTTATGCTTAAATCAAATCGATGATTTGTCTTTGTCTCTGTAGGACAGCGTCAAGAATAGGACAAAAGAAATATGAAAATCGTGAAATTCAAACAGATAAAAGCAAAGGATGACGTCCAAGAAGGTTGGTTCCTTGTTTACTGTAAGGAATTGTTCTCGTGGCCTGTGCAGGAAGTCCGGTCTATGTTAACCCTCTAACTCCCAGAAGTGATTAACACACAACTTCTCCTAACGATATCCATACATTTTCCAGCAAACAGGTAATAAGAAGCATTAAACTTATCAGGTAGAAGTTGTTTCCTTGATCTAAAACCAAATTCTTGTAACTAATTTAGTTAGGAGTTAGGAGGAAGAATTATCCATCAGATCTTGGAAGTTAAAGGGTTAAACTCCTAAACCTGAGATAAATTAATAATTTACGTTTGTAAATCAAAACTAACCTAAGTCAAATATGAAGCAATTTGCAAACAAAGAAGATAAAACTGTCTCCTTTATTTCGTGACCTCTTCGATTTCTGTCTGATCAAGGAGACTCGTGTCCCAAGGGTTTTAATAAGGTTTTTCATAGGCGGCTGCCGACCTGCTGCCGATGGTGCGGGTAGGCAGCTGTTCCCGGAAAGAGTCTTTAAGGCGAAACCCAAACACGAAAACGTGCTCTAAAACTAATCAGACGGCGGTAAGAAGCCTTATGGCCAGCGTTAGATCTCCAGTAATGACTCTTATTTTATTGAAAACCATAGTAGCCGTTTACAGCCGTGTTACTTTGATGAAGAGATGCTACCTATTCGTGTCGAGTGATATCCAAAAAAAAAAAAGAAATTTACCGGCAAAGTTGTCTTTGGTAGTGTTAATTTTATTCCTCTTTACCTTAGCAAATTACCATGGTATTAAATCAGCTTGTGCATTGTCCTTGTTAATTGAAGATTATAAGCGTCAATAGTCGGAGTGAGCTCAGAGATCCCTGTATATTGTTCTGACATGTAGTAAAATACCAATGTTTAGATAGCTAGGTATGTATTCATATCGTCTTTCTCCTTTCCTCTCTCTCTCTGGGAAAACACCAAGAATACAGCAAGGACGTTGCGAGAACATCGCGAAATAAAGAAATTAAAGGGAGGAAAGAAAAATATTTCAACTTCCTTTGAGTTTAGTTGTATTATTTTTATAAAAAGTAAACTATCTACTCTTGTCAGTCTGATTTGCACTGAATGCATACACCTGAATTTAACGATTTCCTGCTTTTTGAGGATAGCTAAAGTTAAATAAAAATGGTGGAAAACTACCCTGAGATAAAGAAATTAACATCTACATTTGTTGAGTTAACAAAATCTTGTTAGATATCACATCAACTATAAATAAAAGCTAAAATAAGATATATATATACATACATATACATAAATTAAATAAAAGTAAAAACGTCTAGATAACAAGATAAATAAATGATAATTCATAATTGGAATTTACTTTACTTAATTATTTCACGTACTTTCCTAAGTTTAACTTAAAATCAGATAATGACTTGCAATTTATTAAGTCAGCGGGCAGTGAGTTCGCTATTCTTCTGCGTTTGATATCTTGGATCTTTCTGAGAGAGGTGGTTTTTGGTGTTTTACAGTACTGTTGCTTTGATGAACCAGAACTACCACTGTGTTTTTGACGATAAAACACCGGTGCCGAAAAAATGCCTAAAGCTCGCTAAGACCATCCATATGACTTCCTTTGTTACCATAGCAACTGTTCAGAATGTCAATACTCCCTTTGGGATAAAAATGCTACGAGGCAGAATAAGCTCGGAAATCTCATTTTTATAACTTGTTTAACCCGTTCA